CGGCCGGTCTGTATGTGGGATCCGAACCATCGGCGGGAGCACCGCCACGCTTCCCAAGCGGTGCACTGTAGCAGTGCGCCACCAGGCCGGCCTAAAACAAGATTCTGATCACTGGAACCAAACTCAGAGGAAGGACTGGTCTCTAAATAAAAACCAATCAAGAACATACACTTGCGTTTTAAGTTAAAAATAAATATGCTTCAGGTGGGTATTCCACAGTTTTATAGATTTTTAAGAACTACCTCACTGTGGTCTCAAGTCCATCAGATAAGAGGATTTTTACTGTTCTACTCTGCAAATGCTATTTCTATTCTTTATTATGAGTAATAAAATAGAAAACCTTCACAAAAAATTAAGTTGTTGAATATCTGTCAACACTGAACCACAGCCAATCTCCAGCTAGGAACTGGAGCTCAGAGCATTACCATGTTTCTGGAATCAATACCTTTGGAATTTTGGCTCCTAAGTCCTGATACTGCTTTGGATTCTTCAGGAAATTCACAAACTCCATAACTTCCAATTTGGCTTCTTCACAGCCAGCTACGTCTGCAAATCGCACATCGATGTTGTTCTTAAAGATCTTGGCTGTGGTCTCACCAACACCGAAAAGGCCCCCTCCTCGCCTGCTGCGCCCAGCCCCCATCGGGCCCCTCCTCACAGCATAGAGAACGATGCCCACCAGGAGAAGGGTGGGCACCAGACTTCTCAAGAAAGACCTAGAAAATCCAAGAAAACCACTTGTCACCTTCCCTCAGCAGAGAGGGCAGAAATACCACCTTCAGGCCAGAAGGGTGGACTGCTCTAGAACTTTTCTTCATGCAAAAAGGGAGCGGTTTCTATTTTAAAATGTATCAAATTTTAAAGTTTCACCCCATAGCACTCAGCCTCTCCCATTCTGAATGTCTGGTCCCACACTTCAGTCTGTGGGTGGGGAGGGGCTGACTCCTCTACAACCTGGAACCAGGCAGCACCCCTAGGATGTGCTCCCCACAGACACAGTGCAGCCTCCTCTCAGCTGAGGCCAACCAGGCCTGTTTCACCACAGCAGAATTTCTCTACTTTACACTGAATCTCCATCTGTTTTGTCTATACTTCATATTTTCTCCTATAAATGGAAACTGAAATATCAGCAAAAGAGGGAGAGTACCCATGCCCTCCAGAGGCGTGAGGCCATTCCACTCCTCCAGGCCACACTTATCACTTTCAGCCCCAGGACAAATCCTCAACTCCCACAAGACAGGCCCACATGCAACCAGTATTCCTGACAACTTAGCAAGTAAAAACTCAAGTCAACAATAAACAGCCCCCTAGATGATATTCGGGGGCTCTAGTGGGAGACTGTGGGCACTTTGGGCCCATCACTGCAATTCTGAGAACCCACCTGCAGGACTCTGCCTACCTCATCTCCTCTCATCCCCATGCAATCCCCACTCTGCCCTCAAACACACATCTAGAAGTTAAAGAAACCACCCAAACCACCATTATCCCAATTCTTTACCCATCTCCTGGCTAAAGTTGGTACTAAGCTCGTACCTGCTCCTGATTCAGTTTTCAATTCAGAGGGGAAGGGCACTGACATCACCAGTAAGTCAATGTGAGAGCAGGACCTGAGCTCAGCACTGCTGACCTCCATGCTAAGTCTTGAGATGTACACAGAGTATTTAATCTGGTATTTGCCCCCAAGTCCATAATGGTTTTAGGGACATATTGTGCAGTGAAATTCAAGAAAGAACACAAGATGACATGAGAGCTGTGCATTAGCACAGCTTGACTGTGCATCAGAAGCTGCAGGGCTCACAGCAGGGACCGCCAGCACCAGGAATCTGGGGAGGCCACGGCTGCTGGGCCAACCTCTGGACACTCTGCTTCAACAGGTCTGCAGGAGTGGGGCGTGGAGAGAATGGTGGTGCATTTTGAAAGGGTTCCCACGGGGATCCTATGCGTGGCCAGATTTTGGAAGGTTTCCTACAAGGCTTTAAGAAATTTGTGTTACAATGATGATACAACATCCATCATCTGTTTGATTTTTCCCATCCAACACTTTTTTAAGGCTGCCTATCTAAATATTTTCCTGCTTCAATAATTCTCTTCTCAATAGAAGAGCTAACACACATATATGTTTTTTACTACAGACACTGTAAATATTAGCAGATGCCTGTAAAATGCTTGAAAGAAGCACATTCCAAAACAGGTTGAACACTGAATTTTTGTTTTGTGCTCAGAATCAGAGGCCCTGGACTGGAGTGGCGCTTTGTCCCCTCATCCCAGCCACTCACCCGTCCCTCTCAGTTGTGTAGACCACGGCTGCCTGGCTGGTGGGCTCAATCCCCAGCTCCCGCTGAGCAGACTCCAGGTTGCGCTCAAAGGTGTCGATGCTTCCAATGTTAAACCACACGAATTTCTGCGGAGATCGAGACCGAGAACAAGTTTAGGCTGCACCACTGTGTCCCACACCGAGACAACCCAACACAAGCACCTGCCCACAGCCTGCCATCCTCACCAACTCCTCTTCTAGCAAAGCCTCTTACCTAGCCCTGACTTCCACAACACGGGTAAGTCGCACCCTGAGGACAGCTCTAAAGACAACTCTCCTAACAGGAGATCTTTTGGTTTTGGCCCCACCACATTACAAACTTTAAGTTCTAGATGAAAGTATAAAGTGAGGCAACATCTGCTGAAGTTTTCTTTTGTCACCGTTTCTTTGTCTTTTCATTCTTCTCTCCTCCCAAACTTTGGTAAGTGGTTCAGACACTACTCGGCAAAACTGAGTCACAGGTACAGTAGTGTAAGTGCTCCTGTCCTACTTGGAAGACCTCATTATTGATACATGTCAATAAGATAAACCATCACATTAACAGGGGCTGCTGCTGGATACTAGGCGAGGCATTTTACTGAAAAAACCAAAAAACTACATTTTACATTTTAAAAAACCTATGTCTGGAACACTCAGCCTTAAACCCACCTCTCACCTTGGAAGACGTCCCAGGGGGAGGAATAACACGCACTAACTGCTTGTTCACAACTTCCAGCCGATCCACCTAGAAAAAGAGAAAAATAATCAGAACAACTGAAGCAGGAGGTAGGATGTTCAACAGCAAACCACAGGCTCATCCTCAGACACAGTCCACAGTGCAGACAGAGATTCCAACTGCATCCAAGAAACCACACAAACTCCGCAGCAGAGATCCAAGTTTTGTTTTCCCACCAACTAACTTGGACATTTTAGCCTGCGGTATAAACCTATTTCCATTTTAACAAACACGAACCAATTCAAGAAGAGGTACTAAAATTTGAAACATCTGAGCACCAAGAGTCCAGACTGGACTAAAAATCTAAAAGAAATTCATAAAAGTCTTAAACTGACAATACAGTGAAGTGTTAAATACAGAGCTGGTTTAGAGGCATTTCATCCACCCAGCTGCAGGTACCACAAGAAAACGGTGCCAGCAAGACTTGAGAACACAGCCCCAAGGCCCACAAGCTGCCACCACCTCTCCACACAGCTGCCCAGAAGGCTAGCATGGCCCTCTGAGAAGCAACGCAAAAGAAGGAACAGCTGGAGAGTGCGACCCAGTTTCTGAAGCGTAACGACAACATCGTCATCCCTTCTACTCCCACAGAATCATAAACCACTACAACATGACTTTCCTTGGAAACTAAATGAAAACTTAGGGTTACGTGACTAACGCGAATGTTTTCATTATTGAGGTACCTTACAACCACAGCAATATGACCACATCCCTGCAGCCATGTCAGACCCTCAGAAAGGATGTTGTGGAAATGCTGAAATCTGTCCAGAATCCACACACAGGAAGGCAGCCTGGGCCCAACACACCTGTCTCACCCCTCCTTACAGCCACACCTGTAGGTGGCAGGTCCATGGGTAAGAAGGGGCTGCAGCAGCCTTCTCCCTGACTACTGGAGGGAGAGCCACCAAGGGCCTCTCTGAAGACAGGCATGTGCCCTGTGGCCAGAAAAAAAAGGCACTGATCACAGACTCTGGTGGGAAACAAGTGTTTCCTGCAAATGTCACCAGACTGAAGTTCAGATCTTAACAGTGTGTCATTCAGCAAACATCCTTCTGATGGTGACCGAGGCACAAGGCACCTGCTCCTGTGCACGCTCACACTGAAGCCGGCAGTACATCACCCAGCCTCAGCACCCTAACCAACAGACCGTGTCTGTGAAGGACACCAGGGCTCTGCTGGTGCCATAGGCTCCAATGCACAGACATCAAGCCCCAGGGCTGAAAGCCCAGGCCCACTGTCCAGGGCCAGCCAGCAGGGGCCAGGGTGCACTAGGGGGACAGGAAAGATCTGAATCAGATATGAGGCTGGAATTTAAAGATAAATGGACAGACAGAACTAAGTCTTAAAAGCCAAAGCTAAGAAAAAGTCAGGCCATGATGTTAGCGGAGAAAGTGGGCATAACACCATTATTTTGGTCTACTTATTGGAAAAAGTAAAATTGTGCCTTGTCTGTGCCCCGCGGGTAGGACAATGGAGTCTCCACCCAGGCCTGGGAGCTCCCAGCCTCTTAAGGGCCTCACAGGCCCCATGCAGGGGCCTCCTTCCTGGGCAGACAGACTATAAATTCCTCACCAGACCTCTGGCCAGGTAATACTGTACAAAGTGCTTCCAGGTGATTTCTTTTCCAGGATCTCGAAAGTAGAAGTAGAAAAATCCCATGGCAACACCAGCCCCCAAAACAGCCAGACTGCAGAAATCCTTGTCGTCCCAGGGGAACTCCCCCTGTGGAAGGAAAAATAACACGTTTTACAGTTAAATGAGGGTGGTTTCTTCATGAAAACGGCTATTTCCTTTTTCAGATGTTACTGAAGAAGTTGTCCAAACTCTCCCCTCCTCCTGATACAATACCATGCGACCTCAGTATGTGGTGAAGCCGAGACTGCTCCTCTCATGAGGAAAGACTTTTACACGGTGTATAAGAACACATCATGGGCCGGCCCGGTGGCGCACTGCTACAGTGCGCCGCTTGGGAGTGCGGTGGCGCTCCCGCCGAGGGTTCGGATCCCACATACAGACCGGTTCCCGCTCACTGGCTGAGCGAGGTGTGGGAGCAACACCGAGGGTTGTGATCCCATTGCCGGTCCCGGTCCGGTATGGGCGCGACACTGAGGGTTGCGATCCATTGCCGGACACGAAAAAAAGACAAAAAGGAAAAAAAAAAAAAAAAGAACACATCAAATGTTACAGCTCACCAGATGCCCCAAGAGGAGCAGAAAATCCCCAGAGAGTCTGCCTTTGGAGCCCTTGTTGCTGGGGTTCTCTCTTATCTGGGTCTTTTAAAATTCAGATAGAAATCTGAACACAGTTTTAGAAATCAGTATTTTAGGATCTCCGAAATAATTCACTTGCTTGTCCCTAAAGAGGCAGAAAGAATGCTATGGTTTGAATGTACGTGTCACTCCAAAATTCCTTTGCTGGAACCCAACCCCCAAGGTAATGGTATTGACAGGTGGACCCTTGGGAGGTGATTAGGTCATGAGGGCTCCATATTCACGAATGAGATTAGTGCCCTTATAAAAGGGCTTGAGGAAGAGAGTACCTTCCATCATGTGGGGATGCAGTGTTCATCCCCTCCGGAGGATGCTGCGTTCCAGGCACCATCTAGGAGGCAGAAACCAGGCCCTCAACAGACACCAAACCTGCCAGCACCATGACCTTGGATTTCCAGCCTCCATAACTATGAGTAATAAATTTATGCTGTTTATAAATTACCCAGTCCAAGGTATTTTGTTACAGCAGCAGAATGGACTGAAATAAAGCTATGCACATCATCGGCTCTGCAGTGACTGCCTCTTGTGGGGAGAGACAGGGTGTCTGGGTCTGGTCCTCAGACACACAAACCTTCTGTATCTGTGTCCACCAGGCAAAGCCATCCTGCTTCCCATCTCTCTTGCTTCCATCTCCTCCAGGCCCTGCTCTCTTTGGTTCACCAGTTTCTAAGAGAAAACAAAGTCTGGCTTTCAGAAAACAATTATATGTAATCTTCCACGGAAAGAAGATTCAGAGAACAGAAAAAGGTTTCCCGACATACAATTTTAATAACACCTTCCAGTGCCTTCTGGAAATGAAAAAGGAAAAGGAAAAGGAAAAGAGGAGATATTGCTGAGAAGTAACTTCAGATACATCTAAAATCCCTCAAACTTCACCTTACAGGCTTCAGACCTGAGTTTTAATGGCAAATCTTTTTTGGCTAACAGTCTACAGCTGTAATTAGGGGAAAGAAAGGAAGAAAGCAAAAGATGAGGCAGGCTGGCATGGGGTCCCCTTCTCAAGAGATCTGGAGCACATGTCACCTGCTCTCAGGCAGAGTCCAGCTTTCCTAGAAAAACCTGGCCTCGTGTGTACGTGTGTGACCTATGGACTGTGTTACAGGGGTGGAGTCCCATAAGCCTATTTCTGTCATGTTCAAACAAGTTTCAGGAAAAATAAGCCATGACATTGCCCCCTTCAAGGATGGACATACTGCCAGTCCCACCACCCCAAAACACCACCACAGAGAATACCAACGTGACCCTAGGGATGGCAAAACATATTATGAGACAGAGTCAAATTCTGCACAGATTTTAAGGACAGAATATGAGTCTTCAAAGAAATGTTCCACTTGTAGCAAGACACGTCACCAGTCCTCCCAATATGTTCTTATATGTTATATGGATTCCACACTCATGAGCACCTGAGCAGGAGACATTTCACAAGAAAAACACATGACTTTTCCAATCCCAAAACCTAGTCTATATCTCCAAACCCTGATTTAATTTAAAAGATGATTCATTGAGGTTTAGGATCTAACAGGCAAAGAAGATGCCAAGCGATGATGACAAAGACAAGGAACAGGTGAGGGGGTGACGGGCAGCACCATTACCAAGCAAAGGGAAGAGAATGTCAGCACCTAACAAACACCCTGCCCCCCACTTGACCTTCCCAAGCACATTAACTCAAAAACCAGAGCGCTTTAGAAATACTCAAACGTCAGGCCGAGCCCGTGGCGCACTCGGGAGAGTGCGGCGCTGGGAACGCAGCAGCGCTCCCGCCGCGGGCTCGTATCCTATATAGGGATGACCGGTGCACTCACAGTGCTCACTGGCTGAGCGCGGTGTGGCCGGTCTCAAA